AGATCCTCCACCTTCACGCGTGGAGGCTATCTCTGGAAGCCTCGCCAAGGCAGGCTTTTCTCGAGAGGTGTCAGATCGCATCGCGCGATCTATCAGGGCTTCCTCTTCTGCCGTCTACCAGTCCAGATGGAAGATCTTCTGTGATTGGTGTGTCGGCAGGGAGGTTGATCCATTCGAAGCCTCTGTTCAGCTGATTGCGGATTTCCTACTCTCTCTGTTTAGGGACCGCAATCTGGCACCTGGCACTATTGCTGGCTATAGGACAGCAATTGCCAGTGTCTTGGCTTTTTACGGCAGGAAGGAGATAGGTTCTTCCTCATCTCTTTCTGCCCTAATCAGAGGCTTCGCTTTGGATAGACCCAGAGTTCGGCAGCTGGCCCCGCAGTGGAATTTAGCCTTGGTGCTAGATTCCCTGACGAGGTCACCTTATGAGCCTATGGAGTCTGCCTCTTTGAAGTTTCTAACTTTCAAGACAGTCTTCCTTTTGGCTCTGGCCTCTGGACGTAGGAGGAGTGAAGTGCACGCCCTGTCGTCACTTCCTTCCTGCCTTCGTTGGTCCAGAGGCTACGCTGCCGTTACTCTTTTAACTGATCCTTCCTTCTTTGCGAAGAATCAAGTCCCGGGGTTCTCGCCCGATCCCATCAAGATTCCGGCTTTGACTAGCTCGGAGGAGAGGGATAGATTGCTTTGTCCCTGTAGGGCTCTTAGGTTTTATCTCGATAAAACCAGGGGGGGCGGGGCTCCAGATCCCGTCTGTTTTTGCCTATCAAACAGGGACAGCGAGACATCTCCTCCCAGTCGGTGTCTAGGTGGGTATGCCAGGTCATTAAGTATGCTTATGAGCATTCTGATGACCAGGCTCGGGCGAGGGTGAGAGTGCGGGCTCATGAGGTAAGGGCCCTCGCTGCATCCTGGGCCCTTCTTAATGGGTCCTCCTTTCAGGAGGTCATGTCTGCTGCCTTCTGGCGGGGCAGGGATACATTTACAGATTTTTATCTGAGATCCCTGGCTTCCCACTCAGAAGGTTTGTATTCTTTGGGACCTCTGGTGGTTGCACAGTCTGTGGCTGTGCCCCCCCGTTAGCCCCGGGGCTCGTCTTTTCCGTTCGGCGGCACGTGGGTTACCTGCTCGGTCACGGGGAGGTTGCCCCTCCTTATTCTATGCACTCTGTCCCCCCTCCCTACCATGTTTAGTGTGCTAGATGGGCTGCCTGGCTGCTAGTCACCACTACGGTAAGACGAATTCGCATACTAAAGTTATGGTAATTATTACTGAAATGAAATTGAGGTTTTTTAATGTAAAATCAATTTTCATGAGGTAATACTTACCATAACTTTATGGAGTCCCACCCTTTCCTCCCCTCTTCCTATCTGCCTGACTGCCCCTCTACGGGTGCTACATAAAGGCTAAGAGGAAGGGAAATAACTCGATGTTCATGACGTGAAGGCTCATGGTCGTAGGGAGGGCGGGATTTTTGAATCATACTAAAGTTATGGTAAGTATTACCTCATGAAAATTGGTTTTACATTAAAAAACCTCAAATTAATCACCCTTCATATTCTATGATTTGTAATTTAAACCTGATATGAGGAATATCAATTGATCTTTCATTGAAAATTAAAATTTCACAACAGCAGATAATCGGAGAAAATTTGTTACAGTCATCAATTTGTACCCATGAAAATTTATCCTAAATTGTGACATAATATAGTTGAGGTCCTATTCTTCGAAAGGAAATTTATACAAAGAGGTGCATCTGTTGCACTCCAGGTACCACGTAGCTTTACCATTTATATTCTGTGTTCAATATGATATAGTTACAATTTCAAAATAACACGTAAGATGTGACATTAAAGTGAAGATGAATTTCCAAAAGTCGGCCAAGATACTATGTGCAAACGTCATTGTATTTTCATTGTTTTACAGGGGTCATCCTTACATGACTGGCTTGGCAATTGCTGGAGGTATCTACTGGATGGGACTGGAAGGCGCCATTATTGGGCCCATCTTGTTGTGCTGTCTGATAGTGGTGGTCCGCTTGTATGGGACTATGTTACAACCTGACCCCGCCACACCTGACCCAGGTAAACACCTAGGCACAGCCCCTTTTTGTAGCTTTGTTGAGGTATAAGTCTGTACAGGATCCTACCATATCTGACCGAGGTAAACACCTAGGTACAGTCCTTTATGTAGCTTTGTTGAGGTATGAATCTGTATAGGAAGCATCCATACCTAGTCCAGGTAAACCCCAGGCCCTGTGTAGGCTTAATAATCACTTGTAGCTTTTTTGAGACATTAGTATTGATTTACTCTTTCAGATTTTCAGAAAGTGCAATATCTTTTCCATCATGTCCTTAACTTTCTATTCGTGTTGTAAAAATTACTAATTTAATTAGTGAAGTAATATGCATTGTATCATTTGCACCTTGTGTAAAATGTGTAACAATTAGCATAGATATTGTGTTGTGTGAGTTTCATAATTCTTCTGATGCATGTTTGATGCTTACAAAGGAATATTTTGTTCTTTCTTGGAAAACATAATGTATTCTGCGGAGGTAACTCTTGTAATTCAAAAAACATATATTTGATTTTATAGTTAGAATAATCATTAACTGTATTGGCATGATAACATCAAGACTTAATGTTGAAGTATTTCACATTTTACACGTAGTGTCCTGGTCCAGGAAAAAGCATATCTGTAAGTCAGTGGATTATAAACAAACAACAGGTGTTAGATTTATTCAGGCCTTGGGTGATGGATCAGATTTTGTCCAATTTTTACTAGGTTGTAAAGAGGTTTTTTAAAATTGTATCCAAATTTAATCAAACTATGCAAAATGTTGTCACTGGTATATTTATGTGTAAATGTTCAATAGTCGAACACAGAACATGTTAGGTAAGATTCAAGTTTGGACATAAATCCAAATTGTGAAGTGATCCTTAGTCCAGGACTGACTGACTGACTTGTTTCGGGAGTTAAACTGTGTTCACCTGACTTACAGAGGTAATTCTTTGTTGACCCTCAGTTATATATTCTCTGGCTATAGTTTGTTTGTAGAAGCTTGTTTGTTTCTTTGCTCTATAAAACAGCCAAGGTCTGAACTTTATTTGTTCATAGTTTTGCTGTTTGCTGATTTATAGCATCTGGTTTAACAAATACGATTAAAAATGATTTTGTATTTTGTTGAACGCTGTTTATATTGATGTGTGTGTATTAGTATGGTTTCTTGGCAATAATAAATTACTAATTGCACTTCCTGATGTGGAATGGCAGATGTTAATGTAACTCTTGTACAAACTTAAGAAATATGACATAAAACCATCACAGTTAAATTATACATACTGTATTACCGAAATAAAAAAAAAAATGAAGGAAATCTAAGAAAAGAAAAACAAAATTAAAGTATGAATTCACCTTTTCAGGAAAGGATTTTAATCTTAATTCTGACATATTGTCCCCTCCTTATCTCCTGTACAAGAGGTTTGTATTTTTGGACTGGTAAATCCAATATGGTGGTTGTTTTTCATAGAATGTAATCTCTATGTACATCATTTGTGTGATCGTTTGACACCACTTACAGGCTTGTAAAATTTGAATACTTAACCAATAGTACAGATCTTTTCTATATCATTTTTCAGTGAATACATCAGGAATATATCAGAGATATAAACTGAGAAGGTGGTGGGGATATAGGGCAGTTGGGAGAAGTAAATTGTAGATGATTGATTTTTCTAAAGGGGGAAATGTTCTCAATTTCTCCATGTTTTTCATATCTTAGATAACATTTTTTGAATGCATGTTACATTTACCGCAAGCTGTCATAAGTTAGTATGAAATTTTGAAATAGTTGTTGGCTAACAGAGTAATGATGCATTATTTGTTATTTCTACTAAAACTGTAATAAATATGGGCGGGCTTATTTCCAGGCATGTGCTTATTGGTGAATGAATATGATTTATGATGAAACAGATACATGTCTTAAGTTATTGTACAAGAGATGGTGTTTACAGATAGGTATAAACTAATGATGTACATGAAGATTAAATAAAGATGTCTTGTCATGGTGAGTTGCCAAGTCCATGTTGTCTTGTTTGTGGAGTGGTGATTGTGAAAGATTTTGTGTGCATTTCATGGTATGTGATTGCAGTAATGACAGAGAACATTTTTCCTATCACTGTTGTAGGTTTTGTCCTTGTTTGAATTCAGATGTGTTTTTATCACATTACTAAACTATCCTATGATGCGTTATTCCTTTTTAGGTCACGTGAGACCAAGTTTCATGGTGCCCCATTGTGTTCACCTTCATCAGGCGTCTGTTAACAATTTAATAATTCTGACTTCTTCTCAAAAATTCCTGATCAGATTTCAATGAAATTTTCCAGAAACCTTTCTTGATAACTACCCTTTAACCTATATATTTAATATTGCTTATCTCAGGTAACTGTCAAGGCTACTAGGCTTTATGTCATTTCATATAACATGAAAATTAAAACTCTATTGCTTTGATTTAATTAAAAAGATGTCACATGATTGATTGTTAAAGTACTCAAAAATGCATCATCCAAATTGAAAGTTTGAGTGTATTAATTTTAGGGTATTATTTGATATAATTCAGTATGACACACACAATCACAAGATTCTCTTCATCATTACAAGATTTAGGATCTAGATTTGTTGGACCTTTACAAATTTTTGGGTTCTTATTGTAATATTAATGTAGTGTGTTATCTGTTGCAATCAGTAATTTTCTATGTTTTACATAATCTTTTATTCACTGAAAATGTAAGTATTCCTATTCTACAAATGGTTAACAAAATGAAAGAGCTGGAAATCTTATTACCATGGAAATATTTTAGGATATTTTGTTTTGTAGTTTACAAATTTTTTATTAGATATATATATTGGTTGTTAGACGCAATTTTAGTTTTGCATGCTTTTGTTTCAGCTTCTTGTATTCAGTTTCACATCTTTATACTGTTGCAAAATATACCTTTCTGTTTACCAAGATTGATTTCTCTGATGATATATGTATGACAATAAGTAGACTATCACATTTGAGTTTCAAGTCCCAAAATTTTGTCTTTCAGGTTTGCTTGATTAAGCATACTGTATTTATTCTAATAAATGCCCCGTCTCTAATAAACGCCCCATCTCTAATAAACACTCCTTCTCTAATAAACGTGCCCCACCCCTTTTCTCAGTGATTATTCCCAACTAAGACCACAAAACTAACTTTGTGCCAAATATCCACGCATATACATATGAATACGAAACAGGAACAATTATAATTCAAAAAGTGATAAACACATGTCTATTTACATTTCTACACAATTAATGACGAGATTAATGTCCAGGACTGCCACACATTAGCCATTACCAAAATGAGTCTCACATTTCTTCCGAGAGAGGAATATATTTTTGAGACTTTTCTGTAATCTTTATAGAAAAATTGCATGTTTTAGCATAACGTTGGTTATTTCCCACTGGAAATAACTTTATATGAATTATCAGTACAGGATGACAGTTTTGGTGATATGCATGTATTGGCACTGTCTATACTCAGTGTCACAGTCTCTGTTTCATGACACTTGATAACTAATATTTATATTCAATATTGCTTATCTCAGGTGACTGTCCAGGCTGCTAGGCCTCTTGTCAATATCTTCATATCGAACAGGCCTTCCACCTCCTCTGCAATACTTAGATGTTTTAGTAAGATTTAAAATTTATATTTCTTTTGACACCGGTCTCACACTCGTCTGCTGTCCACTCGGAACATGTTAGCCGTAACATTTTTCCCTTCTCTTGGGCACATGCAATAACCTTGTGTTTAAAGGAAATATAATATTTTTCTGGTTCCCGACACGGTGATGGTGTAATGACGAGTTGGGATCAGAATGGCTATAGATTGATATTGTTTTAATGTTATATAATGACATACAAGTGATGAGAGAACACAAGTTCATGACCGAATAACTACATCTCCTGACAGAAGTTGACACGCTCTGTCTAATTGTCATTTCATACACAGGTACAGGTCACCATGAGTACAAATGACAACAATATTTACACCATTACAGTTTCTTACATCAATGCCAAAACATTTGTTAATTTGTTTAACAACGATTGAAGCATTATACAGACATGATGGCTATAGACTCTGTTTATATCCTTATATTTACACCTAACAACCTTCCGAGTCTGAAATTTTGTGTTCTATTAAACATGTGCTTCTTGGAAAATTGCATGCCCTGGAGCATTTATTAGAATAAATATGGTATGTGTAGTACTCTATATATAGCTATCGTATCAAGAATGAGAGTTACTCCCCTTGATTTAGTTTAGTACTTGCAGTAATATGGGTGATTTTTTTGTGTTACTGATGGGATTTTGTGTCATACTTTGACAAGATCTACCCTGCCAATCATTCTGTACTTCCTTACCTCAGGTTACAGCATGACACGTGGCAGAAGGAGGCTCTCTGGTGACGGAGGTAGGAAAAGCCTACCCTTCATGTTGAGATTTCTTCCACGGTATAAACACAATTTTAATGTTTACAGTAACTAGGCCATATGTAATACATTTGGAAGTGAACATTTTCATCCCCTTGATCAGTATTCAGGAGGTTAATGTAATGTCTGATTCTCCTTAAACTTCATGAATTGCTTTCCTTCATTGGAATTGTTTTTTATGGACAAATACACCACATTTGAAAGTCAAGATCAGAGTTAGAGAGAAAATTGATATCTGCACTATCATTGAAGTTGTTCTTGGCTGATTACTTTCAAAGTATATTTCGTGGTTCTTTATCAAAACGAATTCCTTAGAATGGTTCTTGGGTCGACTGAAAATTAGAAAAAATTTGATCGCTGAAATCAAGAAGGCAGTCAATATGTTGGCTTTTCAGATTTTAAAGTCAAATGTCAAGTAACATATTTTTGGTAGAAATCTGGTTTTTCAGGTGTTGTAATTCACCTTCATTCACTGCTTTCTTACTAACATTTTTGCATGGAATTGCTTTTCTGGTTGTCAGAGGTCAAAGTCAATATAACAGTCCTGTATCATATTCTCTACAATTTATGTACAAACACATAGTACAGTTATATAAAGAAATTAAAAAAGTAAACCATGACATCCTTGAACTTCAATGCTGATCAGGAGGATGAGTGTTCCTGGTAACATGTTGGTTATAGTGATCTAGTATGATGTCATACTAAAGGAGATAATAGTACATTGATAGAGAGTATATAACACTATATATACAGGAGACAAGTTTTACTTTGGACTACATAAATAGCAATTGTTATAAAATAAACTATTCTGTGAAAGTTCTTTCTAGAAAATTTTATTTAATAAAAAGAATTAGAAAATATTTCATAAAAAAATCTCTAAAACTGGAAATTGACTTCTGTCTTTCTCTTGATGACTCAAGATTGCTATTATTAATGACATCATAGTATATATGTCATGTAAGGCAGCTGAAGATTATAATAAACGTTCAATGAATACCTATTAATTTAAGTAAGTTTTGTAGTTAAGTTGCTGTCTCTATGTTGTGGTTTTGAATTTGTTTGCATGTTGTATCATATCGCATGCAAGTTATTTTATAAGATGTTTTGAACTAGATATTGTGTTTTAATTCTGTTAGATGATGTTAGATGATTGTGTTTTAGCTGAGACAATGTTATAAGATATCAGTTTTGCTGCACATGTATATAAAAATGTTTATCCCAACTTTTACTAATTGTTGTGTAAACTTTGTCTTGAGGTTGTAACAATTACACCTACCCTTTCACTACAGTAAGATTTGTAAATTCTAACCTAGGGTTTCCACAAAGATTCATTCACATTTGTAATAAAGTCCTTATTGTGAAATTTCAGGTCAATCAGCAGCATTGACGTGAAGAAAAACTCATGATATTGGGACAGGAAGATTGATGTCTGATGCAAGGTGTAATCCAGTCCAGCCCCTGTGCCTCTTTCTCCCCCTGGAGCCATTCAGTCCCTCCATACTGGAGTGTTTTGTTTCTGTTACAATATTTACTATATATAATTGTATACTTACCTGGTATATTGTGTCCAGTTTTGAAATGCTTCTAGTAGTTGAGTTACCGTCACATGTTTTGGTGTCCATTAACATCACTCAGCTTGACATAAATATTGTACAGATACTTTCTCTGATAGATTGAGGAACAATGATCAGAGTAAAATGTAGTTCAGATGATAGAGTAGTATCATTACTGCTGCTTATCAAGAGGACATTGTCCTTATTGATGACATCGGAGGGAACAATGCTGTTACTTGGCCACATCACCATGAACAATTCTGTTTCTTGGTGACCTCATGAAGAACAGTTTCTTCAGGTGAAATTACAAGGAACAATACTGTTATCAGAATACCTCACTGGGAACATTTCTGTTACTAGGTAATGTTTAGAAGAACACTGATGTTCCTTCAAGTCACTTTGTGAGTAACATTAAGTTTTCTGTGATATTTGAGGAATATTACTGTAACTTCATGACATCACAAGGAATGATGAATTGTTTATTTATTTGCTGTATTTCGTAACTTTAAATTTTTGACAATTTGGAATTGTTTGTGATTTTTGTGACAATTTGAAAATGGAACTTAGGCTTTTCCCCATTATCTGTGATACTTGAGTAAAAATTTTTATCATTAAAAGTCTTTAATAATGGGAAATTACATGACATTCTTTATCAAGATATTTTCCTTTATTAGGTATTTTATGAAATGGTATGCAAAAATTTTTAAATTGATCATAAGACCACGAAAAGTCTGATAATTTCAATATATAGAATAATGATTATATGAAAGATACTGAAAAGATTATTTGAATTGTTTTATGTGACAAATACTGATACAATGTAAGTACAATGTGTTTATATATATGCAAGTAAGTTCAGCAAAGTCTTGTGCCAGGGAAGTTTAGTTATTGTTAGGGTTTGTCAATTGATATTGAGAAAACATGAAAACTCAATATATTGCAATTATAGATTTTTCACCAAGATGCTTGAAGCTGTATAAGGGATGCCTTTCACAATTAAGTGCTTGAAATTTCGGTTTGTTTCCTTGAAGAGTTCTTGAATATTTATACAATGTTTTTGTATGGAGCTAATGTTTAGTCAATTTTTGTTTGCAGCGATGAACAGCAAAATCATGACATTCAAGATTCACTTTTTTCTCCTCTGGTAAGATTTTATTAAGAGGATGATTTTTTGAAAAAGAACACTGAATGTTTTAATCAGTTTTTGATATTTTTAAAGCATTTTAACTGATATAATGTAAAAAGTAATGTCCAAATAACAAGATTGTGACATGAAAAAATTGTAATATATAATCTCATTCTTAATTATTATGAAATGATTTTTATTGACTGTTTTTTTCAACTCCACTAGAGGAATTTTGATGCACATGATATATACTAAACCTGTCTTTAGTTATAGATGTAATATCTAGCTATAAATAAACCAACATCTATATGTTTGCAATTCATACACCAGGGATTGTTTTTCAACTTTAAGTTATAAAAAGTGTCTATTGTTGAGTAAGAAGCTTTTGTTTTGATATGCCTGAATTCCTGAAAAGTTCCGTCCTTAAATGGCCGTAGGTATTGATAGGACGTTACACAATATAAAACTGAATGCTGGAAAGTTATGAAACTATGACAGATTTAAACCATGATATTAATTTCTTTATATGTTTCTGATTATCTGTAAATGTGATGTAGAAAGTCTGTGTTTTGTTTGCTTATCATTTAAATGATTTTTAGTCCTGTTGTCTCTTAATTGTTGTGTATTGAAGTACCTGATATCTTGTCTGTCTACACATTGAATTTTAGAATGTTTCCTACTACATCCTATAAACTTGATGATTATATGGGTTTAATGAGTAAAGTGGGCATTCTATACCTGTAACCTTTTACTCTGTTTGATTTCTAAGGGTTTAAGTAGTCACCCTGATGACATGGTCACCCGGTGCCAAGGTCACACAGACTTGTATGTGTTTTACTGAGATTTTACTTGATTACTCTGGAGTGAAGTTCATACAGACTTGTGTGTTTCACTGAGACTTCAAGTTATCACGCTGGTCACTCAGACTTGTGTGTTTTACTGAGACTTCAAGTTATCACTCCCTAGTCATGGTCACACTGATGTTTTACTAGATCACATGACTTTTTGGTAGTAATGTAAACAGCACTTGCTATTAACTACCGGTAGTTATGTTATGTTATTGTATGACATATTTCATGATAAAATGTGGTTCATGGATATGAAAAAAAAAATTACGGAAATATTAATATCAACCTGTATGTATCCTGCTATAAGTGGAGGAGACAAACATATAAATAATTACTGGAATTTAAAAGATTGTCTTATTGAAGTACATTAAATTGTAATTCTACTGAACAGTAATAGATGTGTATTGATGTCTACAAGGCATGTACTTACAGCAGAATAAACATAATACATGTATGATGTAGGATTTAGTTTCATTTAAGTATGAAGTATACTTTTTTTAATAATATTTAAATAATTACATTTTAATTTCTCTGTTTTCCATAAATATGTACATGTCAAAAATTTCAGTTAAAGTTAAATTGTATTTCTGATAATATAATTATGATACCAACCATAACCTTAATATGGAACTTTTACACATACACTCAGTTTTAAAACTGCTGTTCATACTTTGTGATATGTTTTAGATAATGATTTGTGCTTATCTTCAAAAAGTAAATTTTTGTGTGACATGATGCAAGATCTTTGAGTGCTTGCTAAAAGTAATATATTGTATTAAATTTGTATCTAATAACCGGACAACATGAAAACTTGATTTCTCTCAAAAGTTTTGGCTTTTGCAGAATTCAGCCTTACAATTTCCGATACATGTTTATTAGTATGTTTAATCCCTCTTTGCATGATATGAATGCCCCTGTTCCCTGCATATTACTTTTTTCTTATTTTTTTTTGGACTGATAAAAAAATAAAAAATGGCTTACAGGCAGCTGTCTTGGATTTGACATTACAATGAAAGATTGTTGCTGCCATTTCTTTAGAAGTTACTGGATGGACCTTTCTCAAATTAATAATGTTTGCTCCTCTTGGCTACTTGTTGTAGTGATTTGATTTTGGCACTGATCCAAAAAATAAACTGGCCGATGGGTGACCATCTTGGATTTGGCAGTTAAATATTATCGCCATTTTAAGAGAAATTTTCAAATTTTACATGATTAGGAACAAAAACAGAGGAAAGCAGAGAAATGAACAAATGAAGATAAAACAATAATGGGGACCAGGATCCCTCTTGGATCTCTTTTTACTTCTGTCGTGGTATAAGTTTGATCTAAAGTGATTCAGGACAGCAAAGGGCAAATGTGGGTAACACTATTTGCCGTGCCCCTATAAAATTGTGCGGATGGAAAAAAATACTTAGCCATATATCACATCTTAAATGGACAAGGTTTCTTCAAATTTTGAGTGTAAATGATAAAATAATACTGTAAGGATTTTAATATTTTAACCACTGATATTTCTTTTATTTAGTGTTTGTGGATTTTTCCCCCTTTTTTCCATATGGGGAGATGTATCAGTAGATGTTTTTTTATCAAGCACCACATGATGTTGGATAGTCAAATCCAAGTTTGAATGCTTTGCATATAAACTAAATTTGTTATTTATTATGTGTATGTTGCAACATTTATGTTTATCTCTGTATGATTTGATTGTTGCATTGTTATTTATTTATATATTTATTAAGTTTATTTCAAGCTTTTTTTACTTTTTAATGTTAAGACCAATTAAATTTGCAGTTTGTGCAATGAAATAAAAGAGACCCATTGGTCCTGTAATGCTTACTTGTTTTTGTTATTTTCTGAATCAGATGATGTTTTTTTGTTCTGATGTATAAATATAGATAGATATACTGCTACTCTCTGATCTTATTTGTAACAAAATCTACCCAGAGATGTATAAGTTGTCTTGTAAACAAGTTTTAATTCTAAAATTAATCAAGGGTGACCTTTAACCTTGACTGATGACCACCAAAATGCACTAAAAATTAGACTTTGATGTTAATATACTAATGGGTGTACACGATTTAAGTTTGATAAAGGGTTATTGAGACATGTTGAATGCAAGCTTTTAGTAGTGGACAAGTTTGACCTTTATACTTCAACATGTAACTCACCAAATTCCTCAACTAAAACTGATTATTGACCAATTCATGACCTGCTCAGATTGTGAAAAATGTTTACATCATTTAAATACATAAAGATGTGATTACTATACCATGGCATTGATTATAGCTGTTGTTTTGTTGGTTGTCAAGCACATTTGTAAATTACCATTAGTAAACTCTTTTATTCTTAACTTCTACTCAAGTTCCACCAGTGGGATTGAGCTGAAACTTGTCTGAAATGATCCTGAGATGTTCCTGATCAAATATTCTTATTTGGGTTAGATCAAAATTCAATATGGCCACCATCTTGAAAAATGCATTTAAAAATCTTCAGATCCACTGGTGCCATTGAGCTGAAAATTGGTGGTGATTTAAAAGAAAGGAACTCAATAAAGTGTTGATTAATTTTTAGCCCCATTGAAAGTTAAATATGGCAGCCAAGGCAATCTTTTTTAACCCTATTGTGCAATTATGGTGTCCCTGAACAACACCTATTTTAAACTTCTCAAGTTCCACCTTGGCTGAAATGATACCGAGGTAGTCCTGACCAAGTGTTATTTTTTGGGTAAGTCAAAAATCCAATAAGACCTCCATCTTGAAAAAACACATTTTAAACTTCTAATCAAAAGTTCAACTGGTGCCAATGAACTATAGCAATGTTGGGAAAATTTACTGCTTAAATAAACATTTCCTACTATTACTGAAATAACATTTAAATGTATAGGTCTTAATTGTCACATAGCTGATAAGGCCCATGGGCCTCTTGTTCATGACCCTTCACCCTTGATTTTGAAGGGCTATGACCAGATATTAGATGGCTAATGAGTGATGTCACTGCACATAGTTTTCATTTCAAAGGTAGTTGAGGGTGACCTTGACTGATGATTACCAAAATCTAACTAGAACACTGACAAGTCAGAAAGGGCCCCGCTATGTGTTTGACCCCTATAGTAAGCTTCAGTAGAGTGTTACAATCCTTGTAAGCTGTCAGAGTCAAATGGAAAGCATTTTTACATTACCCTCGACAACCTTGCGATGTTGCACAGAACTTAGAAGAAACGAGAAATTAAGGCGACAGACCATATGGTGACAAATAGCCATAACTCTGCAAATATTTGTCTTTGAAACTTGAAGTTGGTTTGTGACACTCTGCATTCCCAAGGTATATAAATATAGCAAGTTTGGTGAATATCGTTCGAACGACATGGAAGTTATGGGCCGGACAAGTTTTGGTGACAAAGGGCAATAACTCTGCAAATATTTGTCGTTGAAACTTGAAATCTCCTATGCGGGGCAATAATGAGGTTTATAGAGCTTGATGGTGTGAATAACAAGAGGCCCAGAGGGCATGTATCACTCACCTGGAATTATAAGTCAATAATTCAAAACCTTACATCTCTTTATAAAGAAAACATTTCCTCTGATGAGGCCTTCAAATACAGCTTCAACTTCCCTAGGGGTGGGGACAGAGATCAGTTGTTATTCTCTTGATGTCCAGCAATGCTATTAAGTTATAAGATGGTAATCTCAATGGCTTCAAAGATATAGTCTGTTCTGGGGTGGGACCAGGTCCCAGGACAAATAATAAGTTATAATTGTGTTTTGTCTCCTGATGCTCAGCAATGCTAGAGTCATTCAGTGGGAATCACAAATGTGTCAAAGTACCAAAGATCCAAATGAAAAGTTGATGATATTAAAAATGAACTACATCTGTTTGGAGGTTACATTTTCCCTGTTGGGTCCCTGCCCATCTGGGCCAAGGGGGCAGAAACCTACACTTTAAACAAAACTAATTTCACTTCACCATAGAATGCTTCTGACCAAATCTGGAAAGTATCCTGCAATTCCTGAAGAAGATACATTTTACATAATTTTATTTTCCCTGTTTGGCCCTGCCCCTCAGTCTCAGGGGGGAGTAGGGAGTGGCAGACCCACCAATTACTCAAAATTGGTTTTAATCTTTCCCAAAGGATGCTTCAGATCAAATTTGATGAACAAGAGATCCCAGAGGGATCTTGGCGCCCACCATTTGAGGATCTGTTTTCAGTTCTTGAAGATTTGTTTATTTTTTTTTGTTTGTTACAGGTGTTGTAAATGTTCATGAACTGGTCTTCATTGAATGTACTCAATGATGGCACAAGATATTTTTATAAAGCACCTATTAGCAAATATCATTTGAAAAAGATCCCAAAGTATTATTAGATAGCAATCAGTTACAGGTGGATAATGGACAATATGCTTGTGCTGTATTACTGTCAACATCCAAGATGGCTGCCTGTGGGCCACCTTGATTTCAAATCAGTCCAAAAAAGGTACAATGCACAACTAGGGACCAAGGGAAACCAATATCTTTGAAATATCAGAAGGATCCATCCAGTACTTCCTCAGATATAGCAGTAAAAATATTTTACTCTCAAAATCCAAGATGGCTGCCTGTCGGCCATCTTGCCACAACTCCAAAGGGAACCTGCATATGAAATTTGAGAAAGATCCATCCAGTACTTTCCAAGAAATGGCAGTAACAAACTTTTACTTCTAAAATCCAAAATGGCCACCTGTCGGCCATCTTGAATTCGAATCAGTCCAAAAAAGGTACAATGCACAACTAGGGACCAAGGGTAACCTGCATATGAAATTTGAGAAAGATCCATCCAGTACTTTCCAAGAAATAGCGGTAACAAACTTTTACATCCAAAATCCAAGATGGCCATCTGTCGGCCATCTTGAATTCGAATCAATCCAAAAAAGGTACAATGCACAACTAGGGACTAAGGGGAACCTGCATATGAAATTTGAGAAAGATCCATCCGGCACTTTTCCAGAAATAGCGGTAACAAGAATTGTTTACGGACGGACGGACCACGGACGCAGGGCGATTTGAATACCCCACCATCTGATGATGGTGGGCTAAAAACCGCAAAGTTGTTCATGAATAACTGCAATATGTAGTTAAAGTTGACAGACTCCAGAAAATAGATAATAGTCAGGCGATGGATGCCACATTATCCATACAAACCTGCTCTGAAAACCAAATCTGTCCTTGGATTTAGTAGACATCTTCTATACAACCTTTTATTCCTAGTCAAATATGACCTGTGTTACAGTGAAGTTCATCAGATTGCCTTTACCAAGGCTTTTTTTTCAAAAGTTGTCAAGAGTGACCTTGACATTTAACTTCCACTGATGACCACTAAATTCTAATCAGGTGTGATGCTATTGTGCAAGTACACATGGATGCAAAGTTAGACAAAATGATCAGTCCTCCCTCTCTCGCTCATCTCTCAATGACCTACTATATGTGATTAAAGGGAAATCTGTACCAGCCAAATGTCTCTTTGTTAGAGAAATGTCAATGCTTAATAATATTTGAACAGTAACTATCAAGTCAAATTTGTTTCATTTTTTTTATTCAAACTCAAAATAGATAAATTTTGTACATGTGTTATAACAAGTTGACAAGATCAAAATCAACAACTTCAGAAAACACCTTTCCAACCCATCCCTGATGATTGTCTCAATCTTCAACCCAAATAACACAATATAACACTGTGAAACCAGTACTGTAAAGTACTTTGGGTAGTCTGGAATTGTAATTCAACATTCTTAATGTTTCTCTAGAGATGATTTACAAACTTTTAAAAAAATGACAGTTTTTATTTGTAACATTTTTACGAAAATTTGAACGTACTTCATTCAATCAACTGCAATGTAAATACACCATGTACTGGTAGTAGACTAGTAGTAATGCCCTTTTTTATTCAACTTTACTCTTTTTTCCTTTTCATTTTACAAAAGCAATGAGCCACCACTCCTTTTCATTCTACAAATGAAAGGAGCTACCAATGTTATCGTGACATCTGTCATCTGAAAAGTCTCTAAAATTTTGGATATTGGTAACATTCTCTTCTATAAACAATGTCAGGTATCGCTCCAGACTTGACATTTTAATGCTGCTTTATATTCAGAATTCAATCATGTGATAACCTATGCAGAGTACAATATAGCTGGTGTTGCCACCCCACCTGGTCTCATCAGGTCAACCTTACATTGGCCAGATTTGACCTGCTCTTTGAAAAATACTAAATCACCTGATATTTCTTTACTTTTGTTCAGTGTCTAAAAAAGTTCAAAATTAATTTTTGTACATGACACTGTCAAATAATATTCAAATGTATCAAAGAGCATCATCTAAATACATACAGATGAGATAATTATAAAATTTGATTGACAATGAGGTCTTTTTCATTTTGATCTTTGAACCTTTACCCTGGATTTTGCAGAGGTATGACAAATTATAAGATGGCTAGAGTTTGGCAAAAATGTAAATCTGTTTTGTAAAATGGTCAACATCATTATCACTGAGATAATTGTTTAACATTTTATTAACAAAAACTGACAGTCATGTATATGTCTAGGTAGGCTACCAAATGCTTGTGAAATTATAACAGCATTCAATGTTGTCTGACATATTGCAAAGCACACGCCACTGTCAAACTAAAAAAAGGCTTTTGTGATGTACATGAAGCATCCAATAATAAGGACATCAAGTATTACTGTAACATCTGACAGGAGATAAAAGTGATATGCTTCTGTGTACATTGTAGTGTGTTTTCCACAATGAACTTGGGATTTTCTTTGTGCCTAAATACACAATTATGTAATAAATCAAGATTCATT